AATTTATGAAAAAATCATAGGAAAGCTTTTTTGTACAGCGTTCAATTTACTATAAAAATATGTGTCTCTTATTGCTGTATATTAACTTGCACGGGAGAAAAAAAAATTAAAAGTAAAACTTGCCGAAACCACATGTTATTTAAATGGAAAATGTATCGTCTTTGTGGCACGGTTTAATATGAATATCTTTTTTTATAATTTTTTAATAATTTTTTTAGGTCAACAAAAAAAATCAAGTTGGTAAATAACGGACACCCTAATAAGCACGCCCCTTATTCCAAATATGTGGTAATAAAAAAGAATATAAAAATAGGTAAATTTAGCGGATCACTTAAGATCATCAAGAACGTGGTACCACATTAAATGACCATCGCAATTATAAATTCAAGTTTTGCCACATTCAAGGTTTGGGAAAAGTTCCGAAACGTTGCCAAAACTGGTATAATCCACTTTAGACAACTTTAAGGTGGTGTCAAAAGTGGTCAGAACATTTCAGATACCAGACTGATACACCAAAAAGTTATAAAACTATGAAGTTTATTCTGCTGGTGAAAATCACATGATAACAACTATGCTAATATAATATGAAGATATTTCAACTGTATCGTGGTAGATTTAGTTATTTTAACGTAATTGCCACTCATTTAAAGTTTCGATTTCAGTTTTTGTCACTATAATGCTACTTGGGTTGATCCCATTCTGCAGAAAGAAATTCATTTATCAAATTGTTTGCCATCTTTACTAAATTCCCATTGAATTACGAGGTGTGTTCAGAAAATAACGGGAATTGTTAAATTTCGCGGGTTCGGAGGGTCCGGTTGTCATACAATTTTCTTTATTATGTTGGTATACATGCCCCTGAAGTATGATAAAAACTTTAGCTGTTTTCATTCTTTACTTTGTCTGTGGCAGCTGCTAAGGTTAGACGTGTTTTATGAGCTCGGCGATTTTTCGTTCGTTAAAAGAAATGGATCAAAGAATTTGTATCCAATTTTGCTTAAAAAATTAAATAAATTCTGTGAAATGTTAACAAAGGCCTATGGTGAGTCTGCTATAAGTAAAACAAGAGTTTACAAGTGGTATAAGAGTTTCCAAGATGGCCGTGAAGACGTTGAAGATGACGAACGCCCCGAATGTACAAGCACATTAACAACCGATAAAAACATGGAAAAAGTGGAAGAAATGGTTATAAACCATCAGAGAAGTCGCTGATGATGTTGGTATATCGATTGGCTCATCCCATGAAATTTTTTCGAATGTTTTGGGTATGAAACGCGTGGCAGCAAAATTTGTTCTAAAATTGTTAAATTTTGAACAAAATTTTTGGCCAAAAACTATACTGTAATGATGCCCCAGCCTCCATATTCGCCAGACATGCCTCTGTCTGACTTTTTCCTATTCCCAAAAATAAAGAGAACCTTAAAGGGCCGTCGTTTTGCAAGCATAGCACTATTATTTAAAAAAAACATCAAAATTTGCAATTGCGGCAAAAATGATAACTACAAAGGTTTTTACTTTTTGTTTAACTTTCACTTGAAGAAATCAGAGTTAGCTCATCTTTGATGGTTAATGAAGTGTAGATTAAACATTAATGCTTTGTTATTCGGAACTTTGATGAATAATAATGACAACGCACCCCTTTTCGGTTGATTGCAACTTTAAAATGCAAAATACTTAATTTGCATTCATTAGGCAAGTGTATGTTTAATCGGTCGCTGTCGGGAGTTTGCTTCGCAAAGCCGCCGGCAAACGGGGTGGCATTTGTTTTTGATGTTCGCCAAAGCGTTCTCTTCAATTTGCATGCATTATAATTTGATTCCTGCCGCCGCCGCCGCAGCCGCTGCCCCACCCCCGGCCCCGGCCATCCGCGCATTTCCAGCATCCTCGGGCCATCTCCTACCCTATTCCCTGAAGGTTGCAAGTCCATCATTTTTGCTCTTCTCGATGGACAGACGGTCTGAAATAATTTTGAATTTGGGGCCGAGAAATATTATGTTATGGATATTTACATAATATGCATGACAAGCATATACCATACATTGTATGGTAACTTTACTAATGCCTACAAAATAATAGTAATAATAATAATAACCACACTGAAAAAAAAAATATTCTTGTATTGAAACAATTTATTTGATTCAAAACAATCTTATAATAATAATAATAATAATAATAATCTGCATGCTTCAGCTCTTCTCCTCATTGAGTTTCGTACCCTTAGGAAAAATTCCTGGAGTATTTCTGATAGTGTCACCACAAACCATTATACGGTTTCTCAACTCCTCCTCAGTATTTATTGGGGTGCTGTAAACCAACGCCTTAAGATGTCCCCATAGAAAAAAATCTAGACCGTTTAGGTCTGGCGATCTAGGTGGCCACGATTGTGTTCCTCCGCGCCCTATCCAGCGATTTCTATAATGTTGATTTAAAAATTTCCGTGCCTGAAGACTGAAATGGGGAGGTGCACCATCGTGCATAAACCATGTGCACATATGAAGCCGGGTAAAAGCAGGGACGTTGTCTAGCAAATTTGGTAAACTCTGTTCAAGAAACTGGCGATAACTATTTCCGTTCAATCTGCCTGGTAGAAAATAAGGTCCAAGTAAATAATCACCAATAATTCCAGCCCATACGCTTACAGAAAATTGTTGTTGGTAGTTGGATTCCGTGATGGCATGCGGGTTTTCTTCAATCCATAAATGATTGTTGTGAAAATTTCTTATGGCGTTCCTGGAAAAATTAGCTTCGTCCGTAAATAAAATTTTGGCGTCAAATTAGGGATTGTCGGTAACCATTTGAAGAAACCATTTGCAAAAATTTAAGCGTAATGGAAAATTTCGAGGAAGTAGGGTCTGGACCCGTTGAATATGGTGAGGATATAACAAATTATCATGAAGAATTCTCCACACCAGAACATGAGTAATATTTAAAATATTCCCATTTTTATTTTTTTATCAAAAACCGTTAGTCGTACGAAAAATGGTCAAGAAATCAAATTTGCCCTAAAATAAATGGGGATTTTAAAAAATAATTTTTATTTTGAAAAATAGCAGTGGCGTGCATAATAGTTTTCCAAAAATATCTAGACCACATCCTGTACGGACGCCACTGGTAAAAAAAATAAAAAATCTTCTACATCAAAAACTTACTGTTAATGCGCCAAATTTTATAAAAATATCTGGAAAGTTATGATAAAAAACGATCTTTTTCTTAAAACTTTAACACCCTGTAACTCAAAAATTAAGAGGTTTAGGTCATAGGTTTATTTGAACTTTTTTTTTTTAAATCAACTAAGGATTCACACCCTTAAGGTTCAGCATCTTATTCTAAAACACCCTGTATATGGTATATATGTATATCATATCATTCGTTCCATTGCGATATTTTTATAATAATTATTAATTATTATTATTATTACTATAATTATTGTATACCTGGGTCATTTTCAAGAAACACCCGCTTTCAGGAAAATAAAGATCAAAATTTTTTTTTGCTTAAATTGACTGGTTGGATTTTTATAAATGTTTAGAGTTTTGTTTACTTACATTTAAGACAGGCAGTGCACTTTTTAATTTTTTTTTACGTTTTTTTCAGAAAAATGTGTTTAGCTAGCTTTATATGTCTCCACTGTGTTACCAATTTGAAATCCAAAATTTAATTCAATAAAAAAAGTTGTTATAAAAATAATTTGAAATAAAGTGTACTTAGTTCACAAACTTCTGATTCCAATTTTATTTTTTAATTAAAAATTGTATGCCTTTTTTAAATAGTCACTGTATTAGTGAGTTAAACTCTAATTTATAAACAGGTATTACCAAGGACTTAATCAGATAACGTAAAAAAGAAACTATATAGGGTGGTACGATTATAGAGTAATGCATAAACAAAATCCCTTGTAGTGTGCTCACTTGCAGAATAACAACTTAGATTTCTAAATTATAGACACCCTTTTTCTTTGACTATAAGCTGGTATCTTTTAGTACTTGTATATTTCGTGGAATTTTCCCTTGGATGTAATCTATATCATAAGTTGTAATCACAAATAATTTTAAATTGGTTTATCATAAACTAATTTTAATAAAAGCGACGGTAAATATCCACTTTGTTGTCGAAAAATTCTATTGCGTTACCCTTAATTCCATTGCGTTACCATAAGGTAACGTAATGGACTCGGTAACGCAGTGGACAAAGTTTTGTAAAACCATATTTAAAAAATAATAATAAAACATTACAGTCATTAATTACTCTCAATGAGCTTTAGTGCGCTAAAATAAACATAAACATGAAAAATAGTATTTTTTCTTATCTTATTTTTATTATTTTTTTTTTGAGTAACTTAGCTTACAAACAATTATTACATTCGCGTTACCCGCACCTGTTTCAACCGATATCTTCTTCCTGATTGAATAAATAAATTCAGCTGGGTAATGTGTACGTCCGAACATCATTTTTTGATCACTTGAGTGCCAAAAAAGTTGCCATATATATGTTTTTTTTAATATTCTATCGGTAACGCAACGGACGTAACGCAACGGAAAAAATGTCTGGGACATGAGCCAAATTTAAAAAAAGTATATTAAAATTAATTATTTTATATATAAATTGTTTACTGTATTAACTAAGGATGTTATGGATTGCTATTTATAGCTTTATAAAGCAACACAAAGTTCTGGTTATTCAAATTAAAAAAAAAAACATGTTTGTAAGTTTTATAAAACGCTAATAGGACATGCGAAAATGTGTGTTTCACAAGTTTCAAAATTAAAAAAAAATTATTCTGAAATAAGTAAACAAACATTACTGAAAGAGTTAACTAAGGGCTTGTTAGGCTTTCACTTGGTTTTTAAATCAATAAGATCCGATAATTTTTAACAAAGTTAATGGAATTCAAACTTACGGACGGCGGAAGGCGGGTGTTTTTTGAAAACGACCCACCTATCTATTTTTTTATGTTTACTACTTTTAGTAACTACATTACTGATTTTTTGTTTTTATTTCAGAGCCACCCAGTATAGAAATAATGCCGCAAAACGGTCAGGTGGTGACACGCAAGGGTGGACCGGTTTCATTCGAATGCAAAGCGAATGGCAACCCCAGCCCCGTCGTTCAATGGTCGAAAAAAGTGAGTACTTAATACTTATAACACTCAATTGCATTAGCATGGCTAATCCTCTTTGCGGCTTCCATTAAGCGGCCCATGTATGTACACATAATTTTTTACACAATCCGCCCTGATTGAACAATGAAAAAGGCTTTTTTGCGAGCGCGAGGGTTCCTATGCGGCCCTTTATAAACGGATTTGTTATTTTTTGTGTACGCACAACACGTTTTATTTGTCTTATTTTTTCAGGAGGGCATTCTTCCATCGGGAATGCAGGTTCAAACAGGATACTTGCTTAGTGTAAACGAAGTGCGAAGGCAGGATGGCGGAATCTATCAGTGCACCGCGTCCAATGGCATTGGACAACCTGTTAGAGCCGAAATACGTTTACATGTTTTGTGTAAGAATCATCATAATCATAATTACATTTTTTACAAATTTTATTGTACTTATGCTCCCCCCACGTGACCACGTAGGGAACGCAGTCTTTTGAAAATTTGTCATTTAAGGCTTTTCAGGTTATGTATCTGTCAAAGTATAGTCAATGAAAGAAATAGTATTTATAGTGTTACCGCTTATGTTTAAGCGCTAAAAGTTAATAAATCTTTATAGTATCACAATAACAATGGTTGGTTTAAGAATTTAGTTAATATAAATACTGCATTTAATGAAATTCCAAAGTGTAAGATGCAATATAGGTAAGTGATATTTTTGTGCATTGGGTCTTCATTTCTCCATAAAATAGTTTTAACTAAACAGCATTTATTAAAAAAAATCTAACTTCTCTATTATTAAATAAGAATATCTGTATCAAAGGTAGGTTAATGTATAAGAACAAAAAATATCATCTAATTTTGTATTTTAAGTTTAGAAAAATCTATTTTGACCAAAATAAATAAGTGGATTATTTGAAAGAGTGTGTTAAATATGGTCATAAATAAATATAGGTATACTAAATAATTGTTGAATAAAGTTCAAATTAAATTGAAGCTTTTATACTTCCAACGACAAAACTTGTGCATACCTCTCGGCATACTTACTTTAAGTTAGATTATAAGAAAACAAACAATTTTTAGAGAAACTTGCAATGTGAAAATATTTAATACTCCCATGACATGTGATTTATTACATTTTTTTAAGTTATAATGATTTTTTGATGTAGATCAAATTCAGTCATTTAACTATTTGTATTGACAAAACTTTATGTAAGTAGGTACACTTTAAGCTGGATAAGAAAAACTACCACATTTTTAAATACCATATTATACAGTCTTTTAAATAATCCAAAATACTTATTTATTTTGGTCCAAATAAATTTTTTTAACCTTAAAATTACAAAATTAGATGATATTTTTTTTATAATATATTAACCTACCTTTAATACAGATATTCCTATTCCATAATAAAGAAGCTAGATTTTTTTAAATAAATGCTGTTTAGTTAAAATTATTTTATGGAGAAAATCAGATATTTGGACCAAATGCACAAAAATATTACTTATTTGGCACCATACACTTTAGAATTTTATTAAATGCAGTATTTATATTTTTAAATTCCTAAACCATCCATTGTTATTCTAATGTTATAAAGATTTATACATAATATTATTTCTTTCGTTGACTATACTTTGACAGATACATAACCTGAAAAGACTTAAATGCCAAATTTTCAAAAGACTGCGTTCCGTACGTGGTCACGTAGTGTAGTAGTAGTACATTCTTATTTTATAAAGTAAAATTATATTTTTAGTTTGATTCTGCCTATAGGCCTATAGGCCTATAGGTTTATAAACCCAAAAGGGTTTGTGCTGCAGAAATGATAAAAGAAAAAAATTATAAATACGCTTTTGTGTGATGAACTAAGATTATGTTATTACTATACAATGCAACTTTTATTTTAATCAAGTTTTAAATATTTGTATATACAATAATATTTGTATACATATAAAAAAAGGTAAACAAAACAAGCAAAACAATACTTTTGATGACATTGGTGAGGAGAAAGTGACACAGTTACGTATTAAATGAAGGATCACAAAATTTATACCCACATACATCCATAAACACATACACACAAGGTGTGTTCAGAAAATATCGGGAATTTTAGTTTTTTGAAACAAATATTGATATATTCGTCTACATTAATGTTGTCGCCTTCAAAATAGCCCCCTTGAATATTATGCACATGTGCCAGCTCTTCTTCCAATACTCGAAACACTTCTAAAACTCGATCTTTGGGATAGCCTTTAGTTCTTTCAGCGATGCGCTTTTAATGTCATCTATGCTTGCAAAACGACGGCCCTTTAAGGTTCTCTTTATTTTTGGGAATAGGAAAAAGTCAGACAGAGGCATGTCTGGCGAATATGGAGGCTGGGGCATCATTATAGTATTGTTTCAAAATTTAACAATTTTAGAACAAATTTTGCTGCCAAGCGTTTCATACCCAAAACATTCGAAAAAATTTCATGGGATGAGCCAATCGATATACCAACATCATCAGCGACTTCTCTGATGGTTTATAACCATTTCTTCCACTTTATCGGTTGTTAATGTGCTTGTGCGTTCGGGGCGTTCGTCATCTTCAACGTCTTCACGGCCATCTTGGAAACTTTTATACCACTTGTAAACTCTTGTTTTACTTATAGCAGACTCACTATAGGCCTTTGTTAACATTTCACAGAATTTATTTCATTTTTTAAGCAAAATTGGATACAAAATTTAACGAACGAAAATCGCCGAGCTCATAAAACACTTCTAACCTTAGCGGCTGCCACAGACAAAGTAAACGATAAAAACAACTAAAGTTTTTATCATACTTCGGGGGCATGTATACCAACATAATAAAGAAAATTTTATGACAACCGGACCCTCCGAACCCGCGAAATTTAACAATTCCCGTTATTTTCTGAACACACCTCGTATATAGATACTTTTTGAAGGTAACTGTATCTGTAACTAGTTACTGCAATAAAATCTGTATCTGTATCTAGTTACAAATTTTGGTGAGTGTGGCTAGATACTGAAAATATTGTAACTGTTACAACACTGATGTTTGGACACACCTTTCTTCAGTTATTTAAAAAGATGTAAGGCGCATATTTTTCAATAATACGATTTTTCCTTTGGATTTTGAAAAACCGATGTGGAGGGGGTAGAATCAGTTTTAATAAATATTAATGCACTTTCAAACCCTAAATAAATAAAAAAGATTTTACAATTTTTACTTGGGTAGTTTGATGATGCTGAAGTAAATTTAACTGTTCAGTCGGGAAACTTGATAATGCAGACTTGAAGAAAATTCAAATCGTAGACTAATGAATTTGCATTTTCGAGTCATTTTAATCAAAATCACCGCTCCACAATCTGAGCCCCTCGATTTCACATTGTTATGTTATTGTATTGACATTCTGTCGGGAATGCTCAGACCGAAAATAATCCGAAGTAATGAGAAAGATTTAATATTTTTTTAAAATTTGAAATTATTTTTAGATCCCCCAGAAGTGAGCGTTCTAACGTCCTGGGTGAATTCTGGTGAAGGACTCGAAGCTAAGCTGGATTGTCTGGTACATGCTGATCCTCCTGCAGAAGTAATATAAGCTTAAACAGCTCTTAAAAGCTCTTAAAGGTATCGCATACCTATATAGTTGGTACATTTTGTAAAATTTATATAGTATTTTTTCAATATTTTGAATACAAAATTGTATTAAAAAGGTGATGCGATACTTTTTTTACATATTGTATACAGGGTGTCACCAAATAAGTTTTCATCCTTTAAGGGGGATAGTACACGCCAAAATAAGAACTTTTTTCTTTAAAATTGTTGCATTAGTGCCATTTTTTTAAAAATCATTTTTATAAGTAATAATCTACATTCATTAAAAATTTACATTTTTGTTATCATTGATTACTTTGTTGATCATTGTTTTTTGTTTTGCACACTGTTCAAAATTTCATGACCATTTTAACACCAAATTAACACCATACATGGTCTATATCGATACAAACCAAAATGATGTTAAATATGATTCCTTGATCCAGTGTAAATTCAAATACTAAAATAGTGTAAATTTAACTTTCACACAGTATTAAAATAAATTTTACCTGGTGTAAATTGAACCCCTTTTCAGTGTTAAATATTATGTGTTTGGTCAAATTAAATCATACTACACAGAAAAAAAGGGAAGAAAAGGAAACAGGAAGTTCCTTGACGCATTACAAGTATATTACCATTAGTATTATTCCAGAAAATTGAACCTTCAATTCGCTAGAAATAATGTTTTTAGTGCGTTTCACCAACTTAAAATACATCAAGTATTGACAGCTGTTTCCACCTATTTAAGGTATCTTTAGTATTGAACAACTTGTAGTGTCACACCAAAGCAAAGGACTACCTGAGCTTATATACTCTTCATGTATGTCAACAGAGGCGAGATTTAAGAACATCACGTGATCCACACCGCCTTTGCCGCGATCGGTACACACGTTGGACGGCAAATTGTTTTAATCGTTTTAACAGAGTGGTTTAGGTTGAACTACCTCTTATTTTACAAACAACATATTTAGTAAACTGAACCATACAGCGGGTTGGTTTGACTAAAGTTTTCTGGGTTATTTTAACTAATTTAAAAAAAAATAAAATAACTATCTGGTTTAGTAACGTCAAACTAATCTTTGTTTATATTAACCTTCCCACAGTTGATTTAAATAAATACTTATGGGTCAACTAAATTAATATAGTTAAATGAACTACTTATTTCTTTTTTCTGTGTAAGTGCACTTCTCAAATATTTTTAGATAAACACAGTTTTGGTGTTTGCTGTGTATATCTCTATTGAAAAAATGAAAGAAGGAAAAACTTTTTTGTTTTGGTGTGTACCATCATCCCCCTAAATGATGACAATTTATTACACCTAGGAAATTACTAAAAAATATAATATAATTTTAGGTCAGTTGGTACCAAGATTCCTTTTTACTTCAACCTACAGACAGAAGAATTATGTCCAAAAGTGTACAAACGTATTCTCTAACTATCAGAAACGTTCAGCTATCCGACTATGGAAATTATAGTTGCAGCGTTCAAAATTCGATTGGGAGGGATAAAAAGTAGGAAAAATATTTTGTTGTTTGTTAAAATTCAGCTAAAATATTTTTTTAAGGTACATTGAATTATCTGGAAAACCTGGACCAGCTAAAATTACGAGTCCGCAGTATTCCAATCCACACGACTATGATTTGTCCTGGATCGTACAGTCTGTTTTTCCTATATTAGAAGTTAGGTTATTGTACAGAAGAATGATGGTAAGAATATAATTAAGAAAGAGAAAGCTATTTGATGCTTTAAACCCAAGTAACACATTGGATTTTATTATTACAGCACCGAAAAAATTAATTAAGTATACTAAACAGCTACTTTAATTTTTACTTAAAAGTAATTCTAACTTTTAAATAGCAATATTTAGTAACAGAAACTTCATTCTTTCCTAAAATGGTTACTATAAACTTATAAACATTTAAGTAAAACTTGGTTGCCCCCAAGAAGACTTTGCAACTTTAAAAAAGGTGTTATAAGTAAAAAAAACTTTTAAGTAAATTTAATTTGTATCAGTTACTTTTGGTTGCTACCTAAAAATTACATTATAATTATTTTTTCTTTGTAGTCCCTTTGCAAGTTAAAATCTCGAAACTGGAACATGACTTAAAAACTACAAAGTTATTAATTTAAAAGTTATTATTTTAGTATTTGGAACGTTTATGGTACTAACCAAAACTACCATAAAGTAAATTAACGTGGAACACAACTAAAAAGTAGCGAAAACTACTTCAAAGGAAAATGCTTCTTATCGGCCATTTTTTACTGTACAGTACCACGTTGTAATGTAAATAATAAATTATTTTAATTGTTTGTAAATGGTTGTTTACTTTTTAATAAATAGTAATTTTGTTGGTAATGACGGTATTAATAATTAAATAAAAAATTAATAATAAATATTAAGTTTTTTTATTTATAAACATTATTAAATAAATAATTTCTTTATACTTAAATATTGATGAAGCGCATTTATTTTACAAAAACTAAATTCATAAGTTCAACAGTAAAATTTAAAGGGTTTATAAATTTACCTGCCTAATTAAACATAATATTGTTATTCTGGAAGTTATAAACTACCAGTACATATTTAATAAACGACGACATTGAAAAGCCAAGTCCGTTGTGATTCCATTTAAAAAAGGAGGGATAGTATAATCTAATATACGTTTGACAAAGACAGTTAAATATAAACTGCGCACCACTCAATGTGTCGCGACCAAAAAATTGGTCCTTTTTTAAAACGACATAACTTTTTTGTTTCTTGAACGATTTTATTTTGGTCTGTGATGTCTGCTAGCTCCATCTGGCAATTCATGCTATAGATATGAAGTAAATTTTCTACAGGGTGATATGTTAAACGCTGAAAAATTTCAATAACTTCATCCAAGCCCCGTTTAAAAAAAGAAATATTTTTTCTCGTTTTTACTTTGAAATAATGAAGTATTATGTCTTACCTTGAAACGGTTTTCAAATTTTTTGAATTGTAATCTTAGCAACGAAAATATGTTTTTTTTTCAAAAGAGTAGATTTAAGGCTTTTTGGTAGACAATAAACTCAGTCTTTTTAAGAACCAGAAGATAAGATGGTGAAAGATTGTTCCTTGAATAATTCTGAACAAGCGACAAGCAACAAGTTTCCATTATTTTCAGAGGGGCCTAAGCAACGACCACTTTTTCAAAATGACAATTTGGTAAAATTTGCGAAAACTAAACCTGAAGCGATATTTACGTTCGTGACATGTTTTCTTTATAATTTTGACCTCCTGATTGTGATTCAGTTGTCAAATTTAAGTTTTAGATAAAACCAAAATCGCCAAGAATCAAAATTCGAAAACAATTCCCTGCTGTTAAATGTCTTAATAAAATCCGATTGCTGGCGTGTTTCTTGCATATTTATGATTAAAATGCCATTTCTGGATTTATTTTTTGGGCCAAATTAGTGCAATTTGTTTAAGTAGTTGGGATAATATTACATAACTTACATTTACATTAAGCACTAGTGATAACTTATCACAAGTACCTACCCAATTGTAAATAAAGTTAAATATAAATATTTTTGTTCATTTTTAAAAATTTTATGCGAAGTTATAATCATAATCAAAACTACAACATTCAACAGAAAAATGTAACAAACAATAACAATAATAACTTTCAATATTCTGCGAACCGTTGATTTGGAGATGGTAATTAAACTTTAAATGCCAGACTTTGCTGCAGCTACGGGAATTAACATCTTTAAATCAACGATAAATTTTAAAGGAAGAATAAAAGTAACCTGAGTAAGATTACATGACATGATTATAACGTACTAAAGATTCAAAACATTGTAAAAACCAGCAATCGTATTTTATTGAGACATTTAACAGCCGGGAATTATTTTCGAATCTTGATTCTTGGTGATTTTGGTCTCTGAAACTTAAATTTGACAACAAAATCACAATCAGGAGGTCAAAATTATGAAGACAACATGGTTTAGTTTTCGCAAATTTTTACCAAAATGTTATTTTGAAAAAGTGGTCTTTGCTTAGGCCGTCTGAAAATAATGGAAGTTTGTTGCTTTTCGCTTGTTCAGAATTATTTAAGGAACACTCTTTCACAATCTTATCTTCTTGTTCTTAAAATGACTGAGTGTATTGCCTACAAAAAAGCCTTAAATGTTCTCTTGTGGAAAAAAATCATATTTTCGTTGCTAAGATTCCAATTCGAAAAATTTGAAACAAGTTTCAAGGTAAGACATAAAACTTCAATATTTCAAAGTAAAAACGAAAAAAAATAATTTTTTTTTACAAACGGGGTTTGGATGAAGTTATTGACATTTTTAACTGTTTAACATATCACCATGTAGGAAATTTACTTGAAGAACCGTGAGCTTCATATCTATAGCATGAATTGCCAGAGGATGAGGCTAGCAAACATCACAGACCAAAATAAAATCGTTCAAGAAACAAAAAAGTTATGTCGTTTTGAAAAATAACGAACTTTTTGGTCGCGACACATTGTGGTGCGCAGTTTAGAAGTAGAAACAAATAAATAAAAGTAATTATAACGCTCTAGCAACGATATTGGAACGTTCTAGTAACGTAGCAGCTACGTTTCAAATAGTAGCAGGGTTTATATATAGCTAGTGACATATTTGTTCCTCACTTTAGTCGTAACTTAGTAATGAAAGAGTAATATAAAGAGACCGGCGACTGTCGCAAAACACTTTTAAGTTTCTTCAATAGTCCCATATACGTAACAAATACTTAAATTGTTGCTTAGGGAGTCACATGCGTTACTTGGGAACCAACCAAGACAAATCCTAACCCTAAAGTTTTCTAGGTGAACAGCTCGTACAATCATCCCGGCCAATGGCATGACTTGCTGGTGAAGCCTCCGCAAAGTTTCAACTCGGCAACAGGTGAACGGACGCAAACATACCGACTGTCGAATTTGGTCCCAGATTCCGTGTACGAGTGCCTGGTGCAGACCAGGAACCACCACGGCTTCGGAGAGCTTTCCGATCTCCATCAGTGGTTCTCTTCGCCAAGAGGGAAAATATTTTCCAGAGGTGCGAGCTCGAGAAACAAACCGACTTTTTTTGTTTTCTCACTTGTTACCGTGATTTTTTGTTTGCTACGTGTACGTATATAAATTTATTGATTTAAGAAGAGACTGATTGTGAGAGCAACAAAAATGTACTTACTAGGTTGGTATCCATATGGCTAGTAAGTGAAATGTCAAATGAAAGAGCAAAAGTGAGTGAAAAATTTAACATTCAGCCTCTGGTTCAGTGGCGGCCCGTGACATTTCATTTTGGTGAGGCAGAACCCAACTTAAAAAAACTGACGTCGCAGTTCACAACCTATATTTAAAACTACTCACCAAGTTCAATTAACTAAACCCACAGAATAAACCACTTACCAAAGAATCATAAAATACAAACTCATAGAAAAAGAATAAACAAAATATTGCGTAAATAACCACAGATTTGTTCTTTAAACAGTTAAGAATTTTATAACCAAAACAAACCTAAAGAAGGAATCTGTATTTATTTTATTGGTTACTGTGATGGCTACAAGATGGCGATAGTGTTAAAATATGTTTATTTTGGAATAGAAATATAATTTCGATTAAATCGATTTATAATAAGAAAAATAATACCATTTATTATTGAATTTTGAAAAACGTGTGAAGTATAATTTATCTAAAATTCCGCAACAGTGTTGCCACAACACCTGCTTATTTCCTTGGATGTAGGCGTGCCTGTCTCGCGTATGCTAATACGAGAGAAGGAGACAACTATGATATCGCATTGTAATAGAACGAGACAACAAGGCTAACGCCAATCGTAAGTCTAAATTAGTTTAGGCATGCTTTTGAGCCAATAATCTAGCTATAAATATTGGTTTAAATTGCGGTCGTTTCAAATTCAAATAATTTAAATGTTGCTGGGTATTCCACGTATAAAATCAATCAATTTTATTGACTATTTCACAATTCATGTAATCCAAATATTAAAAATTTATAGTTTATTATAGAAAGTAAAATATTTAAATTATACTTAATTTTTAAATTCTCTATGATGAGGCACTGCCTCACCTGCCTCCCCTGACGGGCCGCCACTGCCCTGGTTTAAGATATCATATGGGTTAATGGTACATTTTTATTTAATTGTCTTTAACATAACCATACTGTCCAGGTGGTCCCCAATGTTGAGAGGGTTTGAAAAAACTATAATATAATATAATTCAGTTTTGAAGATTGATTTAATAATAAATAATAAATAAAAACGACTTTATTAATTCCTTAACCAAAAATTACATAAACAAAACAAATATGCTTCAGTGTGGCGAAGTCTAGCTTTAAGCTATTCTACTCAACCACTAGAAGCCAAAAGAAAAAAGTACATGACGGCATTTTTCCAAATGTTTACTCCAATATGATTTTAAAAAATTATATGATTTAGGTATAAAATAATTTATGTTAATCCAGGTCCATATAATTTTATGTTAAGTTTATAACCAATTAAATAAGTAGTTTGTAGTTATAACAAACATTTTGTAGATTTAATAACAAAATCCTATATCAATAATTGTACCATAATTTGAGACGCAGTAACAAAAGTATTTGTTGAACATTGGGAAATGTTGCTTTATTAATCAATTTCCTAAACAAAAAAATTAACACATACCCACATAAAAAACACAAAAATAACATACACACAATTTAATAACACACCATTCTGAAATAATCAAATTATAAAGCAATTTGGTACAATATAATTATTAGTACCACTACAACACTTACTGAGGTATTTCGTAACTTTAACCCACTTCACTGTATCCCCTAATTTCAGTTTAAAAACCAATGATGGCATCTTTTTTCGAATACTTCTCACACTCGTTAAATATGTATAAGAAATCCGAATAACTATAATAACAGATTTCTGGTAATATATTATAAACACTCTGGACAGTTGTTACGAACACGTTACGAATTAGAATAAAGTACAACAGTGTAACAGTGTAGTTGTTATATTAAAAGTTTTTCAAATCCTCTCAAGGCGATATTTAAAAATCCCTATACTATTTCCTGAAATAATATTATAATATAATAATTATTAATTTATTAAAAATGTTACATTACAGGGTGTTTCCTAAATACAGGGTGTCCAAAATTATTTGTTTATTGAGTATAACTTTTATTAAGGAATAGGCAATTCAAATTTCTCAGAAATGGGAAAAGACATGCGAATGACAATTTAAGTTAAAAAGTAAAAAAATGTTATACTTTTAATTTTTTTAATTTGTTTTTGGAGGTTTTGGTACTTAGGAAACACCCAACCCAGTCCAACCCTGTAAAGGTACTGATTTTTCATTTATGATTAAAATTTTATGTGGACAATATTTTTGCCCCAGCCATATGCCCCAAAGATGTTTTATCAGCTTAATATTTATTTATTTATTTACAAAAATGTATTATATTTATTTATTAAACCTATGTAAAAAAATAAAACTGTATGCGGAGATGAGAATAAAATTTAATGGGGTGGTATCAATTTTATCTGAGAATTTTTTTTTTTTTAAACATTATTTTTCAAAATATGTATCTCTGGGACAAAATATAGTTAACCAAATATGGAATTCTTACCATTTTTTTTGGCATACAAATCGTTTCTATAATTTAATACTTACCCTAATATTATTTTTTAGGAAATTAATTTACAAGGTAAACTTTTTGTCAATTTGCTCGCGTATTTTGCATTTTACGATAAAAAAGGTTTTTTACAGACTAGGCACAGCTTATTAAAGTTGAGGTTTCAAGAAAAAAAATATAGATTCTTTAAAACCTATTTTATTTTCATGTATACATTCACCTGGTTAAAATCAACATAAATTGAAAATCGGCTATGTGGAGTTTGGTGTACAGTCGGCAACAGAATAAATTAGTTTCCACAAAATGAAAAATTCAATAACAAAAGATAAAAATATGAATCTGAAATTTACTAAATAAATCTTTCTTGGGTTCTAGGATTGGCTTGTACTACAGTGGTAATAAAAATGAGTCATAAGAAAACTAGAAATTTATTACTATTACTACTTATTAACTATTATAAGCACAAATACAACGTTTTAAATGTTATAAATAATTTTCAGACTTGAGACTAAGCGTATAATTTTGGAAAAATACTTTAAATGTAGGATGTAAAAAACTTCACCTGATTGGTCTAAAATATTTTTGAAGAAGATAATCGAATACTTGACAACCACAAATCTTAAATTATAAAACGTTGAAAGATAATTTTTTTTCACCTTTAAAATAAGGATTTTTTTCAATATTTGAGATTATACCTATTATCAGTGATAATTTATTAAAATAATTTTTTCCATAAAACTAATGACGCCATCTAAAAGTAGGTACTAATTTTCCACTTTATATTCTTTTTTATTTTTTTTAAATATCTTTCCAACATTAATTTTTGTTCCTAAATTTATTGAATACAAAAATTTAAAAAAAAACAATGGCGTACGGTCTCTTAAAGAAATTCTGGTATTCCATATTTGGTTACTCCTCTAATCTTACTTCAATTACCTTTAAAATTTTTATTGCTATAAAACTGGGACCACCCTTTATAAACATAGGTCCAAGTCAAAATATTCTCGTCAAATTGTATACATGTGTATATATTCTGTGATTTTACATATTAATTATGTACATAAATGTGAGTTGCAATCCACACAAAAAAGGCTTTGGGGTGTTAAACAATTGTTTTTTATTAAGAAAAATAAAAATATTCAATTACATCCAGGTCCTTGTCTAGTACCTACCTTTTGCGTGGATTGCACCTTATATATAGGTATCTATTAAGTGTAATAAAGTATAAGCTAATAAAAATTACTTGAACTACGAACTACAGATATTTTATATTTCCTATCACGTTTAAAAAATTATTATTGAACTATTTTTTACAAAAGAGAGAAAGGCAGAATTCTTACTCGACAAATTTTGTTCGCAAAGTTTCAATTGCACAGCCAAATCGCGTTATTTGTCGCGTTGCAAGTAAAAACTGCAAAAAACCATTTTGTTTATTATTACTTAATCATTGATTAAGAAACTCAACGCTATATGCTTATGGGTGATTCTACAAAAGTTGGACAACTTGATGTCATCAGTCAATAGAGTAGGTATTTTAATATTTTTTGTAAATATTTTAGTGTATTACAAAAGATCCAGGTTTTTTTTACTTGTCCACCCAATTTTAATGTATTTTTTTCAAGAGCACGTTTGTAGAAAAACATAATAAATATTCAAAACATCAGTACCTTGACGTGTCACAACTCCTGAATCAAATATTTGATGATTTTATTTTAAAATATATTCAATTTATCTTAAATTTTTCAACTTCACTAAAAACTATAAAACATTAAATAATGTACTTTTCATATTTTATCATAGATTCGAATAATAGCAATTTTTAAAAAAATCATAATCTTTGTACTCACTTTTACTGTCAGTTCTGTGTCCAATGTTAAAATTCAAAATTCCTGCGAAATATTGAAGTTTAAACGTCAAGTCCTCGTTTTAACTCAAGTGTTAGTAAAAAATTACCTACAGAGCCTGCCCTTTGCACGACAGTCATCTTGAAAACAATGCAAGCGACGAAGTTGTGGTGAATGCACGTATAGTTCCAGTCAAAATTTCAGTACTGTGGTAAGTAGTTATTTTCTTACGTATACCATTCATCAGTATCGTGTGACACGATTCGTGTCGTCAGTTCCATGTTCGATGTTTCGGTTATCTTTTTTTCGCAAACTTCAATTTGAAATTCTGCTTGCGCCGAACTTTATTTAATGTCATTATAAACTCATATAAATTTGGTGTGGGTCCCATATCTAATAATTGAGATATCGGTATACCCAAAATCCACCAGCCGCCACTGATGTGTGGTATTATTTGATTTTAAGATATTTAATGTATAATATGCTCAAAGTTGCAGTAAATCTTATATTTTCCAATAAATTATGTATTTAATTAGAACCCTGGTATACTCGTCACTTCCCTTGCATTCAAATTTAGAAAACAGATATTTCGGAAACTGTTTGAAAAATTACTGGCCCGGTCTGGAACAGTATATTTATTATATTACCTATATTCTCATAACAAAATACTGTTTAATTTTCTCCGAAAACTATATAACAAAATGAGGTCAAAAGTTGCCCAACTTTTGTAGAATCACCCTTATATAGTTAGGTTAGTGTGTGTATTTTATCAAAGTTATCACGGTGATATATGATGTTATAATTGTAAGTCTAATTCAATAACTAATTCGTTGCATTTTCATGTTTTGCCAAAGGATCCAATTTGTATGTATATTTGTTGGTGCAGAATTAATGATAACTTTACCTAATATAATTTATATTTAAGTTTGGACATTTGTAAGAAATCTAACAAAAATAATAGTTGCACAAACATAACCTTAAAATTAAACATTTTTATAACGACAAAATATATCTACGAATTCATGGCAACATAATATTGGGATTTATATTATGTATTATATATTGTATTATAGATATATGTTTTTAGTTTTTTCACCTTCGAGTAAAGACTTTCTTAATCAACGCTTTTAATAATGCATAACGCTGTTTAAATGTAGACTACTTGTTTGATTTTTACTGAATTTAAATGTTTATTTATACATAAGGGATTGTATGCAAATTATTTCATCATTCGGATGTCCACTGTTTATTGGGAAACCGGTAAAAACTCAACCCCCCCTCCTCGAAAAACACCCAACAACACAACAAATCGTTGCACGATTTTTCTCTCGTTACGGGCTGATATTGGCTTTATTATAAATTGCGAAAAATTGGCAGTTGACAGATGTCAAATGTTTAATAAATGCAATTGGCTTTAAATTCTTTATATTCGTCACAGATAAAGTATAGTATGGAACTCGCTTTATAAAATTCTCTAACACTCGTTTTTATTAAACACTCGCTCGCAAGCTTCGCTCGTGCCAAATTAAACTAAAATGCCCTTTATACAGAATACTTATACTATTTTTAATGCCGCTAACATTTAAGGATCTTTTAAATACACATTGACATTGTCAAAGCTGTGACTTTTTGGCGTTTTAGACACGGTCTGAAGTTAGCAACAGTGGCTTTCAGTCTTTTTAGTCACGGGTGGTAGTTGCAGTTGCAAATGCCACTCAATGGTCAAAATCGTCAAAGCGACTATATACAGGGTGTCCCAAAAGTCAACGATATCCTTTGGAGGACATAGACCAACTCATGACTAAGCAGAAAATCAAAATATGACCTTGATAAAAAATAGTTAGTTTTTGAGATATACTAATTTTTATGAATTTTGTAAAACTGGACACCTGCAGTTTTTCGAGTGCCACAGCTACAAAATCTACTATTAATTTAATTTTGAATTGTAATTAATAGCAGTCCTATTCAGGGTTACGCAAAATAAAATATAATCTAAGAATATAGAATTTTGTAGTTGTGGCACTCGTGACATTCATAAAAATGCCAATGTCTTAAAAACTATTGATTTTTTAATAAGGGCATGTTTTGATATTTTGATTAGTGATGAGCTGACCTATTAAACTTGTTACATACTGTTCTATTAAAGTTTGAAATTTAACACTAGTTTTTAGGAATACCTTTAAGCTTTGAATCTTGTGGCGCCATCTAGCAATGGGCGGTAAAACTTTTAGAAAGGGGGAGAAGAGACCGTTACTAAAGATAAAACCAAGGTATTAAGGTATAGAACACTACTGGGTGAAATAGAAATGTAAATTTTAACTTATAGATGGAATGAAATTACCTACAACAGCTTATATATCCAAAATAAAAATGTAATTTAATTTGTCATTAAACTGTAGAAAACATTCATAAATGATACCTAATTCATACGATACGATTTTTACTCTCTAAAAATGAATTACTCAAAAATGACTAATTTAATGGTTATTAGTGGCTGCTTTTTCACTTGAACCATGGTTAACCATGGAATACCATGGTATCCCAAAATTTAACAGCCAATTCATATGTAAAATTGTCCCCTGAATCCGAAAATACTGTCAAAAATTATGAAAGTGGAGCAGGTCCGGATTGGGATAATTTTTCGGCCCGGGCTTTGATTATAAACCGGCCCTTAAACCTCATCAATTTTTTTGTAACAATAAAAAAATCTGAAAGAAATGAATGTTTTTTATTAAGTTTTAAAGAATTAATAATTTTTTTAAAGATTCGCTTTTGGTGGCAATATTATCTATAATCACATCAGTATTTATATCTACAAGAATTTCTTTTTCAACGGACATCAGCAGTAAGGCATCCAAGTGTTCTTGTGTAAGACAACTCCTTAGTCTATTCTGTACAAATTTTAACTTTGAAAAAGTTCTTTCACAGGAAACCTGGGTACATGACAAAGTTAAAACGTATTTATAAGCGTTATATAAATTATTGTAAGACATTTTGAAAACAACACACAACGCAATTTTTGCATGTTTCACAAATAGCTACAGCGAGATGTTGGGATTCATCTTCCTTCAATATAGATTTGCTCTTTTTATTTACCAAGATCTCTTTCATCTTGTTCCATTTTTTCGCAAAATCTTTCAGCTCACTATAAATTTCTGCTGAGGTCACAATATTATTGCCACTGTGTTTTGTTATTTGATCCGCAATATTTTGAAATGAATCAAGTGGCAAATCATCAATT